CTAAAAAACAACCGGATACTTTTAGCCAGATAGTGTCTTAAAAGTATATACATGAAATTATATTCTTCACTCTAGAAAACTATACTCAACGCAAATCACGTGAAATATCGATTTTCGGGAAACAATCTTATTCGTTGGTGAGACACATCTCGAAATTCATGTTTAAGAAAATGGGCACAATTTTCGACCCATATTTAACAAAGAATAATGAGCTTATTTTCTTTTAAACACCAAGCATAATCATCCGAGACATTGGGGTAACTAGTTATATTATAGATTTAACTTTTCAGACGATGTTTTAGCAATCAGAAATCTAAGCGATAAACTGAATTCACAACAGAAATTTACTATAATAAATTTATAGCTCTCACAGCAACACTGTAAAAGCAACCGTTTGACTTTTAAAGTCTTAAAAAAACATTAATTTTTAAAAAAATTGTACCAAGCTATTTTTGCAAATGGACGATAACATATTAATTTGGATTCATTAGTTTTGTTCTTCAAAAAAAAAAAAATAGTACTCATGAGAGAAGTTCGAAAAATGGAATCAACTGCTAGTTTTTTGAATTGCGTAATTTCGTGCTGTATGCAAAATGACATGGTCATAACCGATGAATCTCGTGCTCATTACAGGGTGGCTATAAAATACTGTTACAAATATCACATCATTTTGTTGTACAGATATTAAATTGAAAATGATAAATACACAAATACGATGAACACTTTAAATGGAAGTTTACTTAAATTTTTTTTTCATTCGAATCGATCACCATCTTTATCTATTACTAAAAATAATCTCTTACGTCATTTTCCGAGGACGGCACGATTCATTTTAAAAGGTGATTTGTCCCATTCACGCAATAAAGAAACTCTGAGGGAGTTCAAACTTTTGCGCTGCTTAGCACTTACTTTATACTCTAGAATACCCTAAGCCCAATAGTCTGGGGGATTTAGATCTGGTGAAGAAGGAGGCCAATCTTCTTGCTTAATAAATTTTGAACAACTCACATTGGAGCTCTGTCTGTGTTGTTTTTGCTCGGTGTGCCGGTGAGGAATGGGGTTCGAATCCCCGCGAAGGATGGTCGATACGAATCCGCATCCGGCTTGCACCGACCACAGTGCTGACGTGAAATATCCTCAGTGGTAGACGGATCATGGGTTAGAGTCCCTTTGCCATCAGGCTAACCGTGGGAGGTTCTCGCGGCTTTCCTCTCCGTGTAACACAAGTACGGGTTAGTTTCATCAGAAAGTCCTCCACGAAGGCAAATTTCTCCCGATATTTCATTCAGGAGTTTTTTTGTTGTTTGGATTGGGTTTAAAATTACAAGGTTACGGAGTTTAACTTTAGAAGTCGTAAACCCAAAAATTGGGTCTGCAGTTCTAAGACGGTAATAAAAAATCCTTTTTGGGATATAATCTGCCAGCATGTGGAAATAAGTATGTAACCCATACTTCCTTTTTGTAATATTCAGCATTGATTTTAACCAATTTACCGATGAATTTCAGAGGAAATTTTCCGTTATTTGACAATGCAGCCCAAATCATTACAGAATTCTTGTTCTCAAAGCATTCCACAGCTTTTACACTTTCATGCATATCATCGAAGATTGCTGAAAATACAATATTATTTTTAGCATTCGAACGTTGTTCTGTGCGAAATATTTTCTCTTCAGAAAAGACAATTCTGTCAGCACCTTTGTTACCGTGCCAGTTCAGCAATTTCTTACATCTTTGTAACCTCTTGAATTTTTGTGCAGTTGTCAAACCTTGAGCTTTTCTTTAGCTATATGGACGAAAACCCAGGTCTTCATTTAATATAACTTGCAAAGTACTTCGACTCATGTTCTCTTCTGTGGCCATTTTATTAACAGAGCGCTGTGGATTTCTTCGTATCCTTTCACGAATTCTTTTAATGCTTTTTTTTTGTACGAACTGAGCGTGGATCGCTAGACCTGAGTTGATTTTTGCAGTTTTCAATATCCAATAAACAGTTTATACATAAATTTTCTATTTAACCCAAGAGATTTTAATTACTTAAAGATTCTACCTGCTGAAAATCCGATATCGAAAAGTTGTTTAACCATCAACCTTTTTGATTCCAGCCTTAAATTTATTCTAAATGACTTTAAGCAAAAATCGTTTGCACTTATACTGCATCTGCACTGTAAACGCCGTCACAGGAATAGCGTGAAGGAAATTGCTTTACCAAATGATTAAAATTAATTCCTTTTTTTTTAATGTTACAGTATTTAGTACCCACCCTGCAGTTCAGACATTTTTCGAATACATTCTTTCCAATACATATAATGATAAACGAAAACACTTTGGAGATATGCCTAACCTATAGTTTGTCTAAGCTAAGAACTCCTCCCGCCACAAAGTCTGAGGCAGTCTGGTGTTATGGAAACAGGAATAGACCATTTTAGGGAGGGTAGCTTCACTCTATGACTGACACAATAGACTGAAGAGATTCCCTTTTCTCTCTCTGACCTGAGCCGAAACCACTCCAAAACAGTGACCCCGCACTCCTACCTGAAATAGTCATACCTTGTTACCATAGTCACCACCACAGGTCCAGACGAATGTCTAGGGGAGTTCTTATTTAGACAAACTATACTACTTTAACCACTAGGGTAAAGAAGAGTTTAACATATTATTCTGACATTCTATTGAATTCTATTGAATTATTGTTAGATATTGATAAAAAGATCAAATTCTGTCCAGTTTATTACCTCACTTTGCAATGAGCTGAAAAATTAAAATGAAGCAAAAATAATTACCATTTATGTTAGATGAGTTGCATGCTATGATTTGACACTTGCACTCTAAAGTTGTCATTTTTTTATTTCCAGATATTTCTTATCGATTTAATCAACTCATCTTACAAGAAACCGAATTTTTGTGATCAAGTAAGTATTCTATTATTTTTTACTCTTTTTTCCAGAGTCTTAAGATCCATGTTGTCTATGTCTGTTCTTATGAGAGATTATATAGATATTGTCTATATCTATACAATCTATATCTGTTTAGACCTTGTCCATATCATGAAGAAAATATTTACGCATTTGAGCAAAACACATTAGTTTTATAAGAATGTGACGAATTATTAGAAGGGTTATAGTGATGGTGGTCCACTATCCAGCCAAAAGTATCTGGACACCGAGTGGTATGAACATAGAGCGTCCTTAGGCACTTATTAATAGGATGTTGGTCTTCCTTTTGCATCCATGACAGCCTGCACACGTCTGGGAAGACTTTCCGCCAGTTTTTGATAGGAATTGACTTCCATCACTGCTGACGTGAGTGCTTGCAGTGAGCATGGTGGATTCGGCTGGCTATGTAAATTAGAGCTGTAATTCGTCCCAAAGGTGTTCTATGGGATTTAGATCGGGACTATGAGAAGGCCAGTCCAGTTTATGAACACCCATTTCGTCAAGTCACGTCTGTGCAAACCTCGATGTGTGAGTGGAGTAGTTATCCTGCTGGAAGAGAAATGGGCCTTCCATGAAATATTGCCATAGAGTTTAGAGTGCACCATTGTCTAGAATGTCCACAGGTTCATGTCTCCAACCACAGGAACTAACGGATCAAGGCCAAACCACGAGAAGCACCACATGCCATTATGCTTCCACCACCATAACAACCGGATACTTTTAGCCAGATAGTGTCTCAAAAGTACCAAAAAAACAACCGGATACTTTTAGCCAGATAGTGTCTTAAAAGTACCAGAAAACAGCCGGATGCTTTTAGCCAGATAGTGTCTTAAAAGTACCTAAAAAACAACCGGATACTTTCAGCCAGATAGTGTCTTAGAAGTACCAAAAAAACAACCGGATACTTTTAGCCAGATAGCGTCTTAAAAGTACCAAAAAGCAGCCGGATGCTTTTATCCAGATAGTGTCTTAAAAGTACCTAAAAAACAACCGGATATTTTTAGCCAGATAGTGTCTTAAAAGTACCTAAAAAACAACCGGTTACTTTTAGCCAGATAGTGTCTTAAAAGTACCTAAAAAACTACCGGTTACTTTTAGCCAGATAGTGTCTTAACAGTATCTAAAAAACAACCGGATACTTTTTGCCAGACAGTGTCATAAAAGTATCTAAAATTGAAAATTGCTCTTCCATTCACCAATGTTTATTTCATCCGACAAACATTAAAACCAGTTTCTTTGGCTAATAAAACAAAGTGGTGAAAGCTAGTGAGGAACATCTTTCGATTTCAAATAGGATTTGGTATGATTATTCATAAAGTTCTTGGGTCATATTTGACAAAGATTATAAAAATATCTGTATGAATATAATAGACCAAGAGTCTACATTTCTGAACAAGAGTGTGTAAATTAGAATTAGATACATATATAATTAAGAATTAAAATGGAATAAAATAATCAGGATTGCATTCTTCTTCAAGAGACATGGATTATATAATTCTGTGAATAACTCTTTAACAACACAGAAATGTTATTCCTGTCCCCCATGTTTCTTATAACCGTCGTTGAACAGCAAACCCAATTTTATGGGCTTACGACTACTAATTTTCAACTCAGTAGCCTTGTCATTTTGAACCTAATCCAGAAGACAAGGGAACTCCTGCATCAAGTATTGGGAGAAATTTGCCTTCGCGGATGACTTTTGGATGGAATAAACCCGCAGTTGCGTTACATGAAGAAGATCACGAGAACCTCCCACGGTTAGCCTGACGGCAAGGGGACTTTAACCCATGATCCGTCTACCACTGAGGATATTTCACGTCAGCACTGTGGTCGGTGCAAGCCGGATGCGAAATTCGTGTCGACCGGGATTAGAACCCGGTTAGCCGCATTAAAAGGCAAGCGATCTATCCCCTGAGCCATCGCTGCTCCCTGTCCCCCATTTTAAAAAAATGCACTAATAAACAAGCTATAGACATGTTGTTAGAATAAACAAGCCTATAAACAAGCTATAGACATTACTTGTCCCGAAGCCCATTCTGACCAAATTTCAGATTTTAGCATCTTTATTTTTTGCAAACAGAAAAATATTATTTATCTTACAGAATGTAAAACGTGTTCATTTAAATATATTGAGCAAACAGGTACTGAGTTAAATAATGAATAATTAGTCATAAAGGAGTTTCATAAACACGATAACTATGATATTGAAATTGTTCACTTATAAAAACCTTCTTTTAAAGATATTGAAATTCTTATTCTTAAAAAAATTGAAGATTTAAATATAAGATTAGATTATGAAAACATTTTTATTTGTAAATTGAAAACTTTAAACCCCCATAGGCTTAATAATAAATTAAATGGAGAAGGTAACCTAGATTTAAATAATGCGTGCATTTTTATAATAAATTGAACACTTTTAATAATAATTTTTCATGTTAATTGCAGGGGTAAAAGAAAGATAGGTAAAGATAAAAATAAATTTAATTTGGTTCTTTTCAAAACTTTGTTTTCATTGGAGATCAATAAATTTAACATTAAAAAGATTAGGAGTTTGATTTTTAGTAATAAAAATTCAGTGTTGAAATAGACGATTAAAGAACATTTAAAAATTGTAAAATTTTCTACCCCTGAGTTTAAATATATTGTATTAGATCTTATTAAATTTAAACTTGCAATCAAAACACTTTTGATTTCTTAAATGTTTCAAAAATTAAAAAAGAATTTTGTGTTATCAATTTTCTTGATAAAGATTTTGAAAGAGGTTTACTACCTTTGACTGTTAATAAACTTATTGACTGTTTCCCATTTAAAGAGAAAATCGAGGTTTCTGTTTGTTTTAGATATTGTAAGACTTTAAAGAAAAGAATTTGTAATTATAATTTCTATAGTGAAAATTGAAATGATTTAAGGATATTTGTTTATGCGAGCTAGAATATTTTAGAGATTTTGTTGATAATGTTTTTAAGCGCATTGTCACAGGTGACATTAACTGAATCAGAAATAAAGATTTTTTTCTCAAGGGACTTGAGACTAAATTTTTAGACCAAGAAATAAATATCACTCAAATATTATTCTTGCTTCAATCAGTAAGGATTTAAATTGTTTTATTGCAAAATGCTGTAGAAAATTTAATTGGACTATCGAGGGATTTAGTGAATGGAAACTTTGTGTTTTATATATTTTTAAATTAAATTTTTTGAACAATAATATAAAATACCAGGGTTTTTATTTGAATTCTGATATTATTAAATCTACTAAGGAATTAAAATATAATTTTATTATTTGTGTTGTTGACAAAGCATCTAATAATTTTTTCTTTATTTGCAAAATGTTTTTTAGACATTTAATGAGTGAAGAATATGATAACAATAATAGTTTTAACTACCCTTATTTATTTCTTACAATTAAGTTTCACAAGACACCAGTTAAATTTAGGTTTGTAACTTGCAGTACTGGCTGTTATAATTCTGTTTTTGGTTAAAAAAAATTTATTATTTAAACATAATTTTAAATAAAATTATGTCAAATGATAAGCATTTTATTATTAATAACAACCAGGACGTTATTAAATATTTAAATTACAATAATACTAATACTATTTCTACATGTGATTTTGAAAATTTATTTACGAGTTTACCACACAATAATTTAAAGAATATTTGTTTAGAAATTTATGATAATTATTTGAGTAATGAGGACATTAATAAGGAATATTGGATAAATTTATGTAATATAAACATTTTGAAAATTAAATTTTTTAATGCTATTTCTTTTACAGACAAATTCAAGGTATCTCAATGAGAAATTTTAGTCAAGTGCATTTTCTAATATTTTCATACATTTTCATGAACACAAATTTGTGCAACATAATTTATTAATTGGGTTTAGATTTATTGATGATTTAATTGTTTTTGATTGCAATGATTTTGATGTATTTAAAGATATTTATCCTAAAGAACTAAATTTAATAATGATTAATTCAGATGAAAATGGAGCTAATTTTTTAGATCTTGATATTAAACTTTACAACCAAAACATTTTCATCGGATTATACAATAAAATAAGAGATTTTGAGTTTAATGTTATTAGTTTAACATATTTTAAGACCAACTTATACTTTAAGATATTTAAGAATATTTTGATTGGTTAAATTATTAGGTTTAAATTTACTTGTAGTTATAAAACAGATTTTCTTTCCGCTATACATAATTTCTCTGAATTATTGTACACTTTTATCTCGATGGTTTCAGATTTTTGGTCCAAAGGGATAGTCGCAATCTGGGAAACATATCGAATTTTATAAAGCTACGACTTTTTCAAAATTTGATTTCTCAGACACTCTTCGACCGCTTTACTTAAATTTCATATTTTGCCATGTAAAATTACATTCCTTAAAATGATGTCAAAAATTATATACTTATAAAACTTTTTTGACTCCTATTAAACAATATAATAAAAAATAATAAATACTTACCAAAACGTAAATTTTGCATGGAGTTCTCTTTGGATAAACAAATTATTTAATTGTGTGCAAAAATTTTTCAATTCGCTTAAATTGTTCTCGAGATATGGCGAAATGCGCAAAAATTTAGACTAATGTTAAGGGGTCCAAACTTTGGATCGCCCTCCTGACCAAACTATAGGGACCCTATTTCCCAGATTGCAGCTATCCCTATATTTTTAGGATCAAAAATCTGAACCCATAGTAAAAAGATATGTTTATTCAAAAAAAGTACGTTTTTGAGTCGTATTTTGTAACTTAAAATATCGTCGGAACTAATTAATTAGCATATTTGAGGTCACCCCTAACATTGAGAACTATAGAACGTGAACACCTTTAACATTGAGAACTATAGAACGTGAAAATTTGATAATCAGATCAAATGTAATTCAGAAGACTCCCTTCAGAAGAGAAGAGGATTCAGAAGACTTCTTTTTAGATTTATTATTACCTTTTTCAAGCCGTATAAAATATA